TAAATGTTTGTCTTTGTTTATGTAAATCATGAGAAATATAGTTATAGTAATTGGAACTCATTATCTTTTAATGAGTGCTTTTTGTTAATTATAAACACTTTCACAACCAATTCAAACCGAATTGTATAACCATGGTGCCTATTAGTCTTCAAACTGATTAGATCCAATTTATGTTATATGAAGTGTTTTTATAATTATCTCAAATGTGATTTAATTTAACCATTGCAAATGTACGCAAATTAATGTGGGAACTATTAAAGTAGGTATAGCTTTTAAGTACATTGTAATGGTCAAGGTTTTAAATCATATAAATACTAATTATGTTTAAAATTTAATTTACACTTTAAATATTATTTAAATCTTTCCGTATAAATCATCACTAACTTTCTATTTTAAGTAAAATTTATTATAAATTAAACATATTTTATGAAATTAATTATAAAAACTATTTGTAAAGAGTCAAAATTTTAACTCCTAATTAAATTTAGATGATTATATCAATTGTGAGAAACTCATTTTCACTAAAGAATCCTGATCACACTAACATGTACTTGATCTCTCAATTTTATTTACATAATATGTAACTAAATGCACTCGTTGTTGCACTAACTAATATTAATAACACTGAATATAATTTCTATAACAAAAATTTTCTATANTAAACATATTTTATGAAATTAATTATAAAAACTATTTGTAAAGAGTCAAAATTTTAACTCCTAATTAAATTTAGATGATTATATCAATTGTGAGAAACTCATTTTCACTAAAGAATCCTGATCACACTAACATGTACTTGATCTCTCAATTTTATTTACATAATATGTAACTAAATGCACTCGTTGTTGCACTAACTAATATTAATAACACTGAATATAATTTCTATAACAAAAATTTTCTATAATATAACTTCTAATTTGAGAAACAATTAAAAACCGCTGCTATAGTGAACTTCACATTATCCACCGATAAGATAACAACTGGATTATACAAAGCTCTTTCTCTCTCTCTCTCTCTCTCTCTCTCTCTCCCTCTCTCTCTCTCTCCCACTTAATTTTCCAATTCATATACAATGGATATGAGTGCCAATTACACCGTCAGTATTGTAAGAGAAAGAAAAAGAGCTACAAATGTATGATTAAAGTAATAGAAGTATTTTTCTGTTATACAAAAATGCCATAATTTTGATGAGTAATGATATTTCTAGTATTTGTAAAATACTTAAAATGAATACAAATTTTTTGACACAATTATGATGTAATGAAAAATATTTTGGTTAAACAACTATTTGGATTAACCGATAAATTTAATGTTATATTTATTGGTATAACATAAATGTGCTAAAACTTTAAAGTTATGAATGAAAAGCTTTTACGAAAAATCATTTGCATTACTTTCATTACATCATTTTTATACATTGCCACCAAAAGTGAGAGTATGTATCGTTTTTATTAAAATTACATTATATAATTTATTTGTATATATAAAATAGCTTTAATTTAAAATAATTTTATATTTACTTGTAAGTTTCAAGTAACTTAAAAGTTGTGCTTATCATTGGATTAATAAGTTATTTTTTTATTAACAACAAATAATAATTTATTCATTAGATTTTATAAGTTAGTTTTTAAAATAATTTTATTTGTTTGCTAAATATTCAATTTGTAGCACCAAGTTCTCTTAAAATTAATAACCCAAATTAAATGTTTTAATTTAATATTCAATAAAAATATACCGGTATAATTTTTAAATATAAATAATTTTTAAAACTAGCTTTACATGAAATATAAATTAAATACTAAACTCTGCCTTCATTACTCCATTATTCTGATGCTTAACAATGTTAAGAGATTTTGTATTAAAACTATTTATTACTGATATTTATTTAGTAATCGGAAATGTTTAGCATTAATCCAATAGTATGTTATCAAAACTTGTGTTAATTACATAAATTGTTATGTATTTTATGGTCAAAGAAAAATACAATTGTACATAGAGTTTATCATAAACTTATCTAAAGTATAAAACCTCAGAATATCTTATAGTTTTGAGCCAATAATCATATGATAAACATAATGTAATTCTAAAGTATTTGTATTTTCTTGTACTTGTATTTTCATAATACGTTTGTTTAAATTCTTGACGTTTATTTGCCGTATAATATAGTTTCACAACTATATTGTAATAAATTATTATAACTAATACAGTATAGTTTAGGATTATTTACAAATACCGGTAATTAACATCCTATTTATTAGGAACAGGTATCAACATCATTACCGAAAAATAGTTTAATAAGAATTGATATTGAATTATTACAATGTATTCACAGTAATAATTATTAACTAGTTAGATATCAGTGATTATCATCGTGTTATTTGAAATGTTAATACAGAGAAAGCATTTAATTAGAAACTCACAATTTAAGTGCTCAGATTCAATTACAAAAATGTATCAAATACTGAGAATTTTAAATAAGATTTTATTTATTAAATAGTAAAAGAAATAAACAATTTTTTAAACAAAAGTAATTTCTATTTCTGAATAAAATCTGAAATAAATGTTTACACCATGTTATATAGAAATCATACAAAATATAAATACAAAATAAGCCTATTTATGATTTATCATAATATTACGAGTAACAAAATATACTTTAGAAAATCAACTACAGTATTTTTAAACACATTCTACTAGTTCATTTTGATTTAAGCAGGAAACAAAATGTTTAATTATTAAACACCAAAATTGCATAATACTCTGTTCAGAATTCAAAAATAATCTTTAAGTAAATTTAGTTTATAAAAGTGCCAAGGACTATGTTTACAATTTCTTTGATTTTACTGAAAATATTATTTTATAGTATTTCATTAAATTATACTAAATATAAATTCTCTTAATTATAAATTTATAATTATTTATGCATAATATTCTTAAAAATCTAATTGATAAGCAATAAATATTATTTCCAACATGTTAGAAATCTGAGTATATTTTTAACATGAAATATTATAATACAAATAACAATCTTAATTATGTAACTTAATATTTGCCTAACCATACGCTTGTATCAGTTTAATTTAAGACATAAAAGTTCATGATGTACTTCATGTAGTTTATGCTTTATTCTGTTTTACTATATATTTAACTGTAGTTTGTTTGTCAAACAATGTTCAATATTAAGATATATTTTTCCATTTGAACATTATAATTTTTATACATAATAACACTATATTATAAGTGTAAATAAGACCTAATCTGTACTTAACCTTCAAATTAGTTTATATAAAGTAAAACATTAATTAAATACAATTCTCTTCACAGTGAGTATCTGATACTGATATGACATAAGCATAACCAATGCGGTTATCAATTAAATCAAAACCATTTAAAATTTAATACTTTTATCATAAATCTCTAGAATATTATTGAACTTAAATATACTTAATATATTTGTTTAATTTAATATGTAAAGAATTTCAAGGTTTAAATTAAATTATTAAAATTTAGTTATAGTTCATAATCCCTGTCCACCCCTACGTACCTGAAGTGTTGTCGAGTATAACGTCATTGTCTCATAAGTATCTCATATGAGATAATAACAACTTTTATTTAAAAGCATAGCATAGAAAATATGGAATATTTGTCAAATTTATGATTACATAAACTCATTGTAATTATTTGCTATATTAAAACCCAATAAATTAATATTGTAATAATTTAAAGTATTTTATTTAAAATATAAAAAATTATTCCAAAGCACTACCGGTAATTAAAATTAAAAATTAATTAAATTTATATTTTAAATTATTTGCACCAAAAACAAGAACAAAAATGTAGAATCAATGACTAAATAATCATTTTCAAAAATACAATTTATTGTACTAATGTACTTTAGCATGCACCTTATTAATTTTATTATTTTTCAATAATAATGTTAATTATCAAGCTAAATACTATAGTATAAACTTCTTATAATCGAAGAATAAGTTATTTTAGCAGGATAATTATTTTTATGTTGGATGTCAACTTAAATAATGAATAATCATCTATTTCTAAATTTATCAAAACAAATACTAAATATGATGTAAATTGTATTCCCATAGCTTGTGAAGATTGGAAAGCCGTTTGTCAAAATGCTCAGTACTCGCAATTAGATAACTATTACTGTTACGGGTCGTCGGTCTTCTTCTATGAGTCCACTCCCGTGGGTTGGGATGAGTCGAGACAACTGTGTTCACAGAAATTCAGCGCCAAATATGAGGCAGATTTGGTTCAGCTCTCAAACGACAAGAAGGAGGCGGCAAAAGAGATGATGAAGAGGTTATATACAACGGGAATTATCACAGGTATGCAGTCATTGAGTTGATGAGTACAAAGAATATTTCGTTGATCACAGGATTAGGAGATTGTATTGAAACAAGTGTTGAAATGATCACTAATAGAGTATTTGATAATAATTAGTCGAGACGATTGAATTAGCGACGAGTGGTGTGTGTTGTATGAGGAAACTGACAGCCGACGCGTTTGGCACCGACTGTCAGTGGTTGGCCACCGGTACACCCATAGAGAACACTAAAATCAGTTCCCAAGACAAATGTATTATATATACAGTTATATATGACAGTAAAACAAATGATTTTAAAGAAGTAAAAGATGGGTAAATATGAATTTATTAATTTTTTGTTCAATATGATATCGATATAAGCGATATTTTAATTGTCTGGATTTAAAAATAGTGGTTTCGAAAAGGTGGCCGACACATCACATACCTACCTGTGCGCATACAATGCTCCGAAAAATTGTGTGTACGTATAACGACTACAATATTAAATTTTCTGCAATCTATGAAATTAGCAACAATTTTATAATATTTCACTGAACATGTAACAGAGCACCGCCGGTAACAACTAGTACGCCAAGTGATACAACGACAGTGTCCGGGAGTAGTACCACTGATATATCCCCGGATCAGACGACAACACTATCTCCGGCTGATATCGACAAAGTATTGCAGGAATTGGAGGACAAACTATCGGACCCAAATATAACCAAAACAGAAATACTGAACTGTTCCGGAGTATTGAGCGACATTCTGACGGGCGGTCCCCTCGTAACCAACAGCTCATTGAATCGGACACTGAATATAATCGACAATTTGCAGCAAAAAGTGCACAATAAGATCAAAGACACGGATTATTTACGAAAATTCACTGAAAATATTGTGCAGATTTGCAGTAATGTACTCGACTGTGACCGGGCCTGGGATCAGATCAATCACAACGACGTTAAATCCAGTTTTAGTTCAAATATATTACAGTATATGCAGAGGAGTACGTTTGCATTGGGCTGTACGGAGCGGACGGACACTTCGCACAAACCAATAAAAAGAAACAATATTGTCGTTCAGACGTTTACAATGGACTACAATAAGACGACCACATTTCAAGTCCAACACATGGACTCCTCCATCACAATACCGGCCGGAATACCGGCGCAAAAGCCCGATGAAAATTGTAATGCAGGCACAGCTGTGGGCGCTGTGTTTGATAAGTTGTCCCGATATTTAAAAGTTAATTTGAGTGATGAGTATGAAG